ATTTATTATTGCTTTATTTTATTTTTAATATCTACTTATTTATTGTGTATTTTTTCTCGTAATTTATTTTCTTTCATTGTAGTGCAATTATCTTTTTTAATAAAAATTTAAAATTGGTTAATAAATGATTAGAAAATTTTTTTTAAAAGTTAAATTTCTTAAAGTTTCTTACCATTGGAGTAAATTTGTATTTGAGTTGTTTAATACTGACATGGCACACTAAGGACCACCTTTTTCATTTTTCAATGCATGAAGCAACTTAAATAAGTTGCTTCCATTGAAATTTTAAACATTATGTAAGTTTTGTATTTTATTTAATAGTTCTCTCTCCTAAGCAGAATTTATTAACATTTTAAACTAATAATAATGATAGAATTAACAAGAGATAAACACATTGAATTAACACTTCCATGGTGTGTCATTATCGGAAATCATGCTAGCTTTCTTTTCAGTTTCTCTCTTCCTCTTCTTACTCTCTTCCCTTCCTTGAGTTTGGTTTCTAGCTTGCAACATTTTTAATGATTTCGCAGTTGCTTCTTACTAGGATGCGCAGATATGATGCAAGGGAGTTCCATATTATTTCATGAACATATTATTTTATATGACATTTTCTCTATTTTATCCTTTTTATGTTAATGCCTTTTCTCTCTTCTCCTATAATTAGATGACTTTTCTTTTTTGTCCATAAATATAATTTACACAATGTCACAAAATTAATAACTTACTGCACTTGTAGAGCATGGATTCCGTTGTTGATGAGCCAGCAACAGTTTTTATTTCCTTTTTCTATCGGTACTTTTCCACTCAATTTGGGCCAATAGCTCAAGAATCCTTATGTCATGTCTTATTGGGTTGACAGAAAACTAAAGGCCCATTTTATTTTCTTTTCTTCTAGTCCAATTGGGTAACCTCATGCCAGTTCCTTTCAGAAAATTTAAAAATTACATAAAAACTAATAAATAAAATTGCTCGATTTTTGTATTTGGAAACTCATTTGCATCTAAACTATAAAAAGTGAAAGAAAAATTCCAGGACAGGGTCTCTAATATCTTCTTTCTAATACCTTGTGAAAATATATATATATATATTACAAGTTATATTACTACGTCAAAAGAGAATCATTAAATGAAATGATTCAAGTAAAAATAAAAATAGAGAAACCAAAGACACAAAAGAATGCAGAAAGAGGATAGCTTCTGTGGAGGAGTAAATAGTGAAAAAACAATCAATCAGGAATCAGTTATATTAGTCAAACCAAACGAACAACGAAAGGTATGTTGCCTCAACTCCATTTCACCATTTATTTTTTATTGGGTTACACATTATCTGCTTAGGCTAGATTTGATTGCATGCAATTTTTTTTCTTCATCTGTTACATGATATTTTTTTTTCTACATGAATAATTTTTTAGAAAATCATACCTCTTCGGATGGAATTTGGGATTAATGTAATAACAATTTAAATAAGTATCATTTAAGTATCATAAAACATTAGAGATATTTTTTGTTTATCAATAGGTAATGATATCTAATAAAAATTAATCGGTAGAAATAAGTTGACAAATATTCTATTAATTACTAATTTATTTCCTTGTCATAATTAAACATTTTTTTTATATAAATAAAATGTTGTTAGTTTTAATTATTTCGATTGTTCTTCTAATTTGCTTATTGGGAAAATTTTTGGTTTTATATGGTAATTATTTTAAATTTAATTCTTATTTGATTATCGCAAAAATCTTGTCTAAAATAAATAATATTTTTATAAAATGAAAAAGATTCACTTTCAAATCGAGATGTAATGAGAAAGAAATGTTAAATCAAATGTGCTCATGTATATAACCCCACTTTCAAATTGAGACATTAACGAGAATAAAATGATTTTTAAAAATGTTTAGCCAATTTAAACTTATCTAATCTGATTAAGATAGGATTTGTTATTATAATGTTATTGTTAAGTAAAAATAAATTATTACACTTTCAATTTTTTCTCCCACATTATCTTGTTTTTTGCAAAATATTTTTTAAATTTATATATTAGCACAAACATAAATTTCTTCATTTTTTATAGTAATTTTAGCCAATAGTTAAATCAATTCCTAACATTGATATTATTTTAATTAATATATAACAATTTTTGCAACTAATAATTTAGATATCTCATTAATTTCTTCACCTAAACTAATCATACATGCGTGATATACTAGATAAGAGGATTAAAATAAATGAAAAAATAGAGTAAAATATTTAACTCTAAAATATAAATACTTATTTAAAAATATATATTGAATTATTGGACAATTTGAATTGTTGGAATTTAAGTATGAAATAAATCTTATACCAATTAAAGTTAAACATGTTAAGTAATATATAAGTGAAAAAGACTTATCTACCTAATGTTTCAAGATTTTGGATTATAAAGCTTATGTGGTGTACTCATTATCTATTTGTGTTCTTTGATATTTAATTCTCTAATCCAACAAAAAATAGAAATAATAAATTTAATTTATTTGTTTGAATCATAAATTTGTGGTATTAGCACATGTAATATATATATATATTTTTGAAATAATGATATTAACAAAATAGGTTTTAAATTAATTTCATAATTAATTTGTGTATGCAATTACTAAACTTTGGATTTTGTAAGTAACTTACCTGTATAAATCAATTCTTAAATATACAATTTGTGCTTGATAAAATTTTATCTTTTAAAAACTAGAGAATTATTAATTTTGTTTCTTAAACAAGGATTGAGTCTTTTAAATGAAAATAAAATAATTAAAAAGAGTGACTTCATTAAAGATATATAATGAACCAGATTCTTTGAGAAATAGTTCACACTAATAATATAGTTAAAAATATAATAAAAAAAATAGAATAGGCTGAAATTAATTAAACACCAGACATTACAACCTAATCTGATGTAGAAGGGAGTGATGTGGTGTCCAAATTGTGGTTTGAACTTTCAAACACACTTTCATGTCTGTTTATTTTATATTATTGGCGTGAATTCCTTTGTCCCATAATTGAAGCATCACCTTCCTAAGGTTGACCATGGGTCCTACTTCCCATATCTTGACCTGTCCATAGCTTGTGATCTTGACGTTTACTTTAGTTACTTTTAGGAACCATTCATTCTCTTCTTCCCAAATTGGATTTGCTTCACATAAAATATTTAAGGGTTAATTGCTTTTTCTATTTTTCTAATATTATAATTATACGATTTTCATCTCTAAAATTTTAATTAAATAATTTTATTTTTTAAAATATCATAATTATATAATTTCAATCTTCTAAATTTTAATTAAATAATTTAATTTCTCAAATATCACAATTATACAATTTTAACTCCTAAATTTTATAATTATATAATTTTTGAGTTAAGTCTCAAAAGTTGATGGTAAGATCCATGCAGCTTCCATCTCTCACTGCGGTTAATTTTTATTACACACATGATGCTTACATAAGCACGAGAGCTTCTATTTTTTAATTAAAAATTATAATTATAATATATTTTTAAAATTTTATTCGGTAAACTTTTTTGTTAAAAAGCTAACGTTATACAGTAATATTATTCTTATATTTTTTTAACGGTATAAAATTGTTTTTTAATATAATTTTATATATCAATATTTGTATAAATAAAATTTATTGTATATTTTTTACTCACCAACATCCTGATTTTTCTTCTTCTCTTTAACTCTTTATCTCTTAAAATCCCTTTTTAAGTCAATTTTATCTACTTTCAATTATTTCTTTGATTTATTTTTTTATTTAACGATAATTCACAAAATTAGTTATTATCTTAATTATGTACGTTTTTTTTTTACTTTGTAATTCTTATATTGTTGTAATTATGTAATTTAGCTAGCTTCATCATTTTAAATAAAATTTAATTTAGTTAAGTATTTGTTTTTTACTTTATATCATAAAAATATTTCGTAAAATAGTAGAATAAAATATCTCTTAATTTATAACTTAATTAAAAAATTAAGTTAATAAATAAATTATTGATGATATGTAAAAATGTAATATTTTTGTGAGACCCATTTAAGAATTGAAAGAGAGATGTTGGATTAGAGAGAAAGTTGTTATAAAGGTGTTTTAATTAAAAAGACTAAAAATGAATGATGTATACATGTGGATCCCACTTAAGAGTCTAAAGAAGACATCTTCATTGAAGATAAACTTAAAAGACTAAAATCACATAATTATAATATTTAAAAAATTAAAATTATTCAATTGATCAAAATTACACAATTGTCATATATAAAATTATTCAGTTAAAATTTAAAGATTAAAAGAAAAGAAAAACACATTTAACTTCATATTTACTTATTGTCCATTTGAAGATAATACTCTTTGTTGATTTATTTTATGTGGTTGCTGTTGAATACATAGAAGCAAAAAGTTATGTAAATGATATCTTAACTACGATGATTTTATAATGTCACAATTGAGTTACATGTATATCACAAATTGTGATTTTTTACGTATTACTGAACATTTAAAATAACTCTAAATCAAATATCATTGTGAAAACTTAAATTCTGTTGATAATATCATGTCACCTATCATGTCTTTAGACAAAGGGTTGCACGTGGAGTTATGCGTTCTAATGTGTTTGTCCTCTCTCGAGTCCCTTACCTATTTGTGTTTTTTGTGTTTTGTTGTTACATTAATCTATATTAGTTTTGCTGAGTACAATTCAATCGTTTGATCGATGTACCAAATATTTTCATTATTAAAAATATATACAAATTAATCAAGCCAAGAGGGATAAATCTAAAAGAAACTACAAAGAGCAGACAACAGTACTAGTTTCAGATTCAGACCACCACAATCTGGCAACCTAAAACGAACTGACACTGCAAATGGGCCTCTTGAATGAACTAGTCTTCACAGATTTCCTCCAGTTAATTAATGCATTAAATTAACAATTCAGTAAAATATAATCGAGGGAAAAATAAATATATACAAGCACCACATAGTAAAATGTAACAACATAATTGTACTGTTACTAACATTAATCCGTAATTAATCAGTGTGAAGATATCATATATTTCACATCAAATCAAGTTCTGTACTCTCTTTTCATATCCAATATCCACCACAAGCTAAAGCTAAGGTAAACTCATCAAAGAAGTGGGAGTCTTTATAGTCAATAAAATGAACTATATACTAGGCCAATTAACAAAAATACGTCATACATAGAGAAAATATGTTCATGGCATGTACAACTTGTTGCCACACTTGCATCTCCATGCCTCCGGGTAGTACTCGGCGGTCACCGGCGTCCCCGGCGGCACCGGTACATGAACCGGTTTACAAGGTGTGCATTTACCACACTTGGAGGTGCACCGCGGCGGCGACGACCCAGGCCCGCCTAGAAGCCTCCTGGGCCGGACCATTGATGACATTTCTATTTTACTTTTGGACACCAAACTTTGTCCAATTTCCCCCTTAAGTTCCTGCCCAACATTCATAATTAAGCAACTAACCAATAATCAATGCTAAAGTAAGATAATTTTAATAATCATTGTAAAAATAGTGCAAATAATTTATACACATTCAATATTCATAAAATAACAATCATAAGCAATAATTTTGAAGTTGAACCAGCTTTTTTTAGCATGGTTTGGTTGTTACTTGTGATAATGTGGGGCTACATCCAAATCAGTAGAATACGGACAAGAAAACCAACAAAGTGTAACACAATAGTAGATAATTGAATTTTTTTTAAGTATGCTGATGGAGGTTGGATTTCTTGATTGTACATATAGGGAAAACTTTGATAAATAAATAAAAAATTTACTTTAGTTAATGATATCATTGGTGTAAACTAAAAAGTTATGTGTACGTGAGGCTAACGTGCGCCATCATGACCATGATTCGGCCATGATAGAACTGTAGTCTGTAGTCTGTAGTTGTGTTTGCGGTGAAAGCGCTGAGCATTGTACACTGTACGCGCACGTTACCGAGACTCGTGTGGATGTGATCAAACACGACAGCTAATTTTTCCTGCCTCATTCTAACGTGCGCTGCTGGTGTTACGTTACGACGCTTAACTTAACATGATTGAAACGTGCGTCAGTAGCATGAACCCGAAATATTGATTTCATACCTTCGGGCATTCTCACACTCATCAATCTGAGCCGTTAGATGAAACACCACATAATTTATATTTAAATGTGCATTTCCCATTAGCCGGTTAATTTTCATCCAACGATTCTGGTTGGTTCACTGCGTGAATTCGGGAATTCAATCACTGCAGGGAATTGGGCATAACAAGATGGAGCCAATGGGGAGGCACATGGTACCACCACCACGTGTGAACGTGTGTTCCCTGATCACAGTGGAGTGCATGCATCTGACGGCTCACATTGAAGTGGGTCCCACAACACCCCCTGCTCCTATTTTGGCGCATGTTAGCCACTACCAGTTTGTTCTAGCAGTGTGTGTCTGTGCAACTCTGAGAAGGGGTGTGTATGTGTGTGTGAATGTGATTTTGGAGACTGTCACCATCCAAACCTTGTTTCAGTTTCCACACTCTCACACAACACAACCACAACCATGCTCTCAATTTCCTTTTCCAAAAGCCAGAACCCTTTTTAATTATTACAAAAATAATTGAACTAAAATCTAATAGTAATGTTCGCCATGCCACTGCTAGAGTTAGACCTAGGTAGGTTAATTAATTAATTAATTAATTATTGCAATTTCCAATTAGATGCTACATGCTATAACTGAGGTCAAAGAAAAACAGCAAGAAATTAAAGCATGCGTATGGACCAAGAATAGGACTAGTCTATACCTGAAAATCTTCATCAGCTTTGGCAAGCATGGGACACCTGGTATCTGCAATGGAGAAAGGACATGTTATAAATTTATCATATCATAGATAGTGGAAATGTCAAAGTAATTAATAAAGGGTATGTGTTGAACTTGGAAGAGTTGCATACCTAGACATGGAATGGCAGAGGCAGTAACGATCAGTGTGCAAAATGAGAGCATGAAAAAGGAGACACTGGAACAAAGATTGGTATTTCTCTTCCTCTCCATGAACAAGAAGAAAATAAGAGAACCCTTACAAGTGCAACACTGGGAGGTTATATGGTATGACACAGTCTTTGACCCTATGAAGAGTAGTGTTTGAAGCTATTAGGCAATAGTAGGGTTTAATTTGGAACACCAGGGCTTGCACGTTCCATGCAAATATGAGGTAAACAAATACCTAACATAACACTTAGCCCATTTGTCTAAGATAGACAAAGTCACAAACACACACACACCACTTTTTATTTTGTTTCAGTGCAGTGTGTAATAAAGGTGCAGAGGGAGCTACAAAATTTTGGTACGGCTTGTTATCTGATGAGGTGTGTTTTGTGGCATAGGAGTGTGCACAGTACTTAAGTTAAGAGAGGTTAAAAGGAAAAGGAAGGAAAAGAAAAGTGAACGTAATGAATCTATCTATGCAGATCATCACTTCCTAAGCTTTACCATGTTTAGGTCTTGGATTCTCTTGCAGGCTTTTCTTCACTGTCTTTCAACGATTCCCAAACCCAGAAAAGCTAAAGCAACCCCCTCTCATGCTTCCCACCCTCACTCTGTTTTCCTCTGCCTTTTCTTCTTCTGTATATACTTTTTGTTCTCTAAGACAAACTTGCCCCAAAGACTCTTCAATTTTAACCACCTTCGCCTTTTAACTCGCTTTTTTCTGTCGTCATCTTCTTAATATGTTATGTAGTTCTTGTTTTCAATCTAATGTCAGGATACTATAAATTATTGGTGCCAAGGTTTGGTATTTGGATACATGATAACCACTAATCTCTTCCTTAAAAGGACACAAGTTATCTTTAAGCATGCTTTCTTCATACTATTTTATTTTTTTCTATGTCAACCTCACCGAACATTTGCATGGTTATCTTGTTTCATAGAAATTATTACATGATTTCATTGCAACTTTCATTGTAACTTGATTAGATTTTTTTTTATTGGTTAAGCACCATACGCTATCATATTATTGTTGGGTGAAAAACTCTTTAAATCATTAATTGTTATAATATCATGAGTAAAATTACTTTCTAATTTAACAAGCGGAGAGATAATAACAATAAAATAAAATAAAAATTGATTTTAGATAATTTTTGTGTGATATGCTATATTTTTTATAAAATAATTATGTCATGTAGAAATTTATCGAAACTATATAGTTTTAGTTTTAGATCATGTAATAATTTCTCTTTCTTTAGATATATTAAATTAAGTAATGAGTTGAATTCATGTAATTGTATGATTTTTAATCAATAAATTAAGCTGTGTTTTAAAAAATTAACATTTCTTTTGAAATAACTGGTTCAAAAAGGTTATATCTGCAATGCAGCTTCAATTTTCAAACCCCGTTGAGATATGGAAAGCTTTGGAATATCTTGGTACTTGCATTAAAGATTCATTATGTACTTAATAATTCACATAAATACAATATTTTGGTTCACCATGCTTCCAGTTGGACTTTTTTGGGAATGGAAAAAAGTACAAGACGTTGAAAATGTACTGCACATTTGGTTGCATTAATATGCCCTAGTAGCTAGGTACCTTAGAAAGTGGGCCAGCTCTCACACGGAGGAATGTATTTACAAGAATAGCCTCTGGCGTTGCACGTGTGAGCATGATGGGGTGGTTGTTAAGGACTGAGACCCTAGAAAGAACTCTCAAGCCATTGATATCTGACCAATATGACACATAATAGAGAAAGGGATGGTCAAAATGACTGTTGAAAAATTCCATCAATTTGCTTAGATTCCAAAAGCAAGAGGGTATAGACAAATATTGTGTAAGAAAATGGTGTATAGATAGATATATCTATATGTGCCTGCCCTGTGGCCTCAGGTTCCATCAATGCAAATCAAAATTGCATTGGTGCTCTAGGGTCTTCATTTCAACTGCATGCATAGTACCAATAATTCTACTCAATTTTTGCAACTTTAATTCTTTTTACAACATTCAACCGGATTTCATGGGATGTCCATTTTGAATTACATTTCCTGCACTATGTTAAAGCTGAACCTTCTTAAATTGGCATTTCCCTTTTTTTGCAACATTATATGGTAAAGTCTTGATTGAATTAATTCTGATGACTTTCTTAACCTTTCAGAGTTTGGATTATTCTAATCTCATTATGACAAGTAGGTGAGTTTGGAGAAATAGGGTAGCTGAAGACAAGCTTGAAATTTGAAAATTAGTGTGTCCACACCGAGTGTCCATACCTGAATAGAGAGGCATAGTGCCCCTTGAGGATGAAATTTCACATGACCATATCTTTGTTCACTATATCTCATTTTCAAGACTATTAGGTCTTGGTCGGTTACAGCTTACCATTTACTACAATTCACCACACAGCTATTCAGAGATCACATGTGGCAATATTTTATTCCCCTCCTTTCATTCGGTAGGGATATTGAATTTGAATAGCAGTGGAGACTCTTTGAAACTAAGGGCTATGTGGTTTTCACTTTCTACCAAAAATAACATGCACCAGTAACTATATATATCTCTCATCCATCACAATCCACATTTAAGACCAGTTCTACTGAAAGACCATTATAACCAAAAACCCTAGTTCATGTTGGAAAATATTTCTTATACACCAAATGGAGCAATAAAAAGTGTTTCATACGGTTGGAGATTTTGCATTGTTTAAGAATAAGATCATGTAAAATTTTTTTGAGATATTTTGTCTTTCAAAGGATATGTTGGACATCTAATATTGACCATAATGATAATTAATTTTATAATAAAGAGTTAGACTTTTAACTCATTTTTTAAGATTATATCCCAATTACCTAGATCCATTTTAAAAGACTATTCATCATCTAAAATGGTAAAATGGTATGTTGTCTGACTCAGCTTTAAACAAACTTTATAATTAATAAAGAGAGATGCGTAATAAGTGAGAAATATATATAACTATATACGATGTCACGTACGAGCATCCATATACTTGTGAAACTGATTCAGATTATGCCATTCAAAAGCTGCTATATGTCTATGCTCCAGCCAAAGCACATTAAATATGAAAAAGAAAATTGTTGCAGAAAATGAATGAGATTTCCAAAAAGAAACTGTAGAAGATACGATGTGTCTAGTGTTTGCACGAACGAGACTATTAGATGCCTTACAACTGACCATCAAAGTCTACTCTTTCGAAACCATTTCTATTTAAATAAGTAGGGTAAAATTGAAATTATTGGTGAATAATATTAATAGCTTCTAAAACTTAACTAACTATTTTTAGTAAGTTTTTTTTTAATTATTTGACTCTTATAAAGTGATCTTATCACTTTAGTGAAAAAAGAAAACACATATTTTATTATTTAAATATTTAATGTTTAAGATTTAATTATAATTAAAATTTTGATTTTTTTTAAAAACTATATAAACAAAATACACACCAACTAAAATTTTAGAAAAAAGTTAAAAAAAAATCACACATTAATATTTTCTTTTTTCATGAAAAACTATTATCATTAAGGTCGTAACAATCATCAAAACTATCATTATAATCACTATTATAGTCTTTGTCATCACAATTATTAGTATTGTCACTGCTCCCATGATTATTATTGCACCACTACCACCATCATCAAAGACACTACTATTGTCATGTGCTAGTAGTGACAGCGACATGATGACAACATTAGTGGTGACAATGATAATAATAGTTATTTGTACATAATTTACTTTTAATTGTAAATATTTTAGAGGATCAAAATTATTTAAGAAAAAGCAAGTTTGTCCATTATTTACTTTCAAATGAAAACATTTTGTTAGATTTTTGAATTTTTAATTTAAAAAAAATCACATAAATTAATTTGAACTTACTGTTAAATAATTAAATCATAGGAAACCAAATCTAGTTTTGTTAGTCTTTGAGCATAAGATTTTTTTTTGTTTGATAAGGAGGAGAGAAAGAAATAGGTCAGATTAGACTTTGAATATATAATTTGAATTTGTTCTACAAAATTAAAATATATGTTTAACCTATTATCTATCACAAAAATTTTTATAGGTTTGGTTTGACCCTTTTAAAATATGGTCTAACTTATTAACTTATTTAAAAGTCTAGTTTATATTAATAATATTAATTAGGCCAATAAACTTAATTTTTAAAAAGTCAACAAATTTATTTTTAAATACATCACTATGAGTTATTTTTTAATTTTCATGATAAAATATAATTTATTTAATATTATTAAAATTAAAATCTTGAAATATATACATATAATGTCACAGAGAGGGGAAAAAGTGAATCATTTTCTGTTAGAAGAACAATTCATACATAATCATGCTTGTTGACATACACTCACATATAGACTATGATGAAAGTGGGTAATCTTATTCAAATAATATATGTACATTAATTTTTAATTATATTATATAAATAAACAGACTGATCTATCAAGTCTAACAAGCTTTTTTATAAATAATTAAGCCCAACCTTTTTAAATAAATATACTTTTTTAAAAGGATAAATGTAAAGACTTGTCATTATCACTATACTATGTGGAATCACACTATTAGTAGCCAAAACTAAATTATTAGAACATACAAAATTAAAGGAGTGAATATGACACACACGGGCATACACACACACACATATATATAGTAATATATGAAGGGGATACTCTTTTTAGTAACCACTTTGGTCTCCACTTTTTTTGATCATTATACTCTTTTATATTAAAAAAATTTAAAAAAAATATTTTTTAATCAAATTTAAGAACTTGAAACTAGTGAATTAATCATAATATCAATTAGATCAATATATTTTTATTATTTTATTTTATTTTTAATAGAGACACAAAGTGTCTCGACCTCACTAGTATATATAAAGTGAATATAAAAGTAAACACATCTACTAATATAGACAGTTATATACATGTATACAATACTCCCAAAATAATTATGTCCTAATGTCGGTCAAGCACAACTATACAAGTTACATCAGCTAGCACTAACACCAACAAAACACCTACCAACAATAGTTTCTTAAGCCTAACTCTAATATGCTCTCATACAACATGTGATCATCACAATCCAAACCAACATAAAAACAAAGGGTAAGCTAGAGTTCGAAAAACATGTAAGTATAGAAAAAAATTATATACAACATCATACCAAAAACATATATGAAAGCTAAACACTCTAAAGCTAACATATATTCATCCAAACCATATCAAACAAGACATCCAACAATGCATATGAACACACTACAACATACATCATATACACCTCAAATAATCTATCATCACGCATTGATCTATGGAGATCTAACAACCCGAGTAGTCTAAGTGACTTTATCCTATCGAATCAATCCAATCGTTTTTGCACTCGGAACGTTCTTGATGACAAAAAAATAGGATAACAATCTCTTCTCTGGTTTTATCACTTACACTAGGAAAATTCAGTTTCATTGTTAGGAATAGTATACAACTGAGTATAAGCATACCACGACCTTGACATGTATAACCAAGTCACATATGAAGTTAACCCACTAATTATCCTTAAGAGACCATGCAACCGTTCCGGGTACTTAGTTAAGGTTTGTAGCCCTCAATCACTAATTATGGACTACAACATCACTAATTATGGACTTAGATGAGATATCAACACACCTAAAAAAAAATTCTGAGAAATACACTTATTCTAGGATGATTATCCAATAGTGACCTACCCAAACACCACTCCAAAATTTCTTATGTGGGATCTTCAATTTTTAAAAATAATTTCCTTTTCGCAAGTTCTAAGTTAGCCAACATG